TGTTTCTGCCCTATTGGTTTAATTAATGAAGGGGTCTAATGGAATTGATGATGGACTTAAGCTTAACCCTAATACTAAGTAACTTAATTAATGATGATAGGTTAGCTTAATAATGTTGTTTAAGCTAATGGGAGGTTAAATAAGTTAATAAAAATTAGAAATGATGTTGTTTATAGTTAATGACCCTAATGGGAGTCTTGGGTCCTAACTTTGATAAAGAATTAATTAATGACGACTAGCCATTAATGATGTTTAATGATCCTAATTGTAAATTGACTGCCTTTAGAGTTGTTTATGCTTATTAGAGGCTCCCTTGAAAATCTAAAGTTACTCTTGGTGTGGTAAACTAAGAGTTGAGATATCTTGGAGTTAGATTCCATTATATTTTTGTTGTTTGCATTTATGAGCTTGCGTGAGTATTGCATGCAATATCGCCTAAATTACTACATATACTTAACCATATCACCACACATTATCATAGTAATTGAGGAATAACCACTTTAATAAACTTACCATGGTAAATAAAAATTAACCGCAATTATAAAGAAATTGACCATAATAGAAAAGGAAAAGCTTTAACTTAAAGGTCTACTATGGTTATTAGAATTGAACATGCCAAAATAAAACATGTATTATATATATTGCCCCTGCTAGATTCTGTCAAAGTAGAATAGTTTAAAATCGAGTAATTAAAATCTAGTATATTAAAAAAGATTGAAACCCATATTGATAATTGACATTTTTAGTTTCAATAGAATCTCAAGTTTTTAAAATAAGCTAATAGACTTTTCAAGTCATGGAATCACATACAAATCAAATTAAATAATTTATAGAAGCAAGGGATACTGATTGAAACTTGACACATTGGAAAATAGAGTTAAAATTAACATTTTTTAACTTTTTAGGACCATTCATCACTGCTAAACATCTGTGCATCGCGGCATGTGCTCCTCTATGTCATGCATCTCGATGCGCTACACAGTTTTAATGATAGCACTTTGCCGTCACATTTTAGACCTAGGGCCGAACTTATGATGCATCCCAAATCTCCATTTAACGATAGATTGAAGTAATATAAATGTCCATAGAAAACTCATTTAGTGAACTATCTAATTCTGGTTTCATTTTCAAATTATATCATATCATAAAGTTGGACACTTAGAATTAAAACTACCACATTTTCATACTTTCACACTTTTAAGGTGTCCAAACCAAAACTGAAGTGCTAAAACCTCACAAACACACCTTTGACGTGGTAGGCCTCATTTCCTTCAACCTCCTTTCATTCCTTCCCATTTTTGACGCTAGCCTTACCAAAACTCATCATCATCTTTTTCTAGCTCAATGGACCATATTATACTCCCCAAGAGCTCATTCACAAAAGCAAGAGAGAAGTTGCAATGACAATTATTGATAGAGTGAGAGATTTGGCATCAAACAAGGTTGTTGTGATATTCACCAAGAGTGACTTAGTGAACGCACCAACGTATCCTTACTCGGCTTGTATGCCTTTTTGTAGTATCTTTGTTTTTTTGTCTGTGTGTTATATATATTTGGCTGTTGAAGGACTCTTCTTCTTCACCATGCAAAACCCTTCTTAGCTAATAATAGCACAATAAGTTCTCTATTTCATATTGTTTGCCCATCTTTCTTAGTTTCCATTATTAGAGATTAAAGCCAAGGTTCAGCAATGAATTGACTAGCGTCCCATCGGGCATCAACCTTGGAGAGGATGTCGTGGCTCCACTCAACCCTGTTGTTTGTGGTGGCACTGAGACTGGTGTTTGCATACTCAACAAAGAAGTAGGTTACTAAAAACATGTTGCCCATCCATTAAATATACCAATCAGCATTGATAAAGTTGCTGATTTTCACTTTCCATGAAGATAGCTCTAGATTTCATGTAATGGCGGAGCCACATTGGTTTGCGGGGATGCAAATGTACCCTCACTTTGGAGAAATTATAAGTGGGATATATAAAACTTACAACTTTGCATCTCTTACTCTTGATATTTTGCACTCTCTAAATTAAATGAAAAATATTTAAGCTCAATAACTTAATAAATATATAATATTTTAATAATTTAAATAAGATATGAAGAGTACACTTATAATAAAAGATTATATCAATCTGTTCAATATAATTTTTTTAAAATAAAAAATGATAATAAAACTATTTATATTATTGTAATTTTAGTTATAGCCTAATTATTATTTTTTAAAATATTATTTTTTATTAAATTATTTTACACCTCTCACTCGAGGTCTTAGCTTCGGCACTGCTTCTGTGACCTAGCCAAGTATGACTTCACCATCAACTTTTTGAGGGTGAGGCTAGCGTTGGCTATAGAGTGAAATGGGTGCAAGCCCTATTTCGGTGAAGATATCGAGGTGGTTAGGATTTCTACAACGTGAAGGAGGGAATATTGGTGGAGAGATGGGGGAAGGAAGGAGGAGAGGTGGAAAGAAACGGGGGCCACCACATTAATAATAAATTAAAAATAATAATAAATTAATAAATGGGGCTCACCATATGTCAAAAAATGGGGCCCGATTTAATTATGATATTTAATATGAGGGTGCTTGATGTTTTGATTTAATTATTAAAAAAATTAATTATTTAATTCTTCAACTTTTAATTCATTTATAACTCAATTTTATAATTATGATTCACCTATGACTCAATTCCTCAACTTTTAAATCACTTATAAATTAATTCCTGAATTTTTGTTAATTTTTTCATATCAGCTTATATATTACATTAATGAATAAGAGGATGGTATTTTAGAATAATATATAAGTATTTTTTTATCCCTCTTATTTGATAAGAAATTAAAAAAAAAATTAAAAAATAAGGACCAAATTATAGGTGAATCAAAAGTTGAGAGACTTAGTCACAGCGAGTTATAGTTAAGAAATTGAGTTATAAGTAAGTTAAAAGTTGAAGAATTAAAAAATTAATTTTTTTAATTATTTAAGAGGCAGAAATGTTATGCAAAATATTTTAGGATAATGAATTTTTTAAAAAATTTTAAAAATAAAAATACACCTTTATCTTTATTTCAATTATAGTAAGTTTTTACAAAAGCTGGAATATTCACACTCCAGTCCTCTTTGTTATTCCAAATTTTTTGCACAAAAGTGGGAAAATCATCATAAAGAATCCAAAGAGCAATAAAACAAAATGGCAAAAGATGCTGATGTTTAGCTTTAAAAAAAAAATTAATCTTTTAATTTTTTAATTTTTAATTCATTTATAATTTAATTTTTTAATTATAACTCACCTATAACTCAGTCTCTTAATTATAACTCGTCTATAACTCAGTCTCTCAACTCTTAAATTACTTATAATTTAATCCCTTAATTTTTTTTAATTCTCTTTTTTCATATTAACTTAAATCTCACATCAAAGAGCAAGAGAAGGATATTTTAGAATAATATATGAGTATTTTTTTTATCTCTCTTATTTGATAAGAATTTTTTTAAAAAAATTAAAAAATAAAGACTGAATTATAAATAAATTAAAAGTTGAGGAATTAAGTTGTAACGAGTTATAGTTGAGAGACTGAATTATAATGAGTTGTAGTTAAAAAATTGAGTTATAACTTATAAGTGAATTAAAAGTTAGTTAAAAGATTAATTTTTGTTTAGGTTTATAAAAAAGTTAAAGCGCATGGCCATAGCACCAGGAAAAGCGTATTAGCAATCAGCCGATCTAGCCTTGCTTTTGTAGTTCCTCTTTTTCGGATAATTTAGGGCTTGTAAAACCAATATCATTGAGATTAATATGCTCCATCCACCGACAAAAAACTTTATCTTTATTTGTACAAAGAGGAGCATTAGAATTTCTTTCATCCTAAAGTAAAGTAACATTGAGGTCACTTGCAATCCATCCAGGGCCCATGGATATTCGAGCTAATTTGTAACAGATGGTTCCAAAGCAGGCATCTCTTCACAATATTTGGATTCGCATCAACAAAAGTGACAAAACTCACTTGATTACTAGCATATATTTTCAATGAAAAGATGGACAAATTGAGGATTCTTCTCCAAGATGTTCACAATTTTAATAATATCCTCCTAAAGAACCCAAATTCCACCACTATATCCACAGTTTAAGCACTGCGTTACAAGATAGATTAGAATAAACTTCAGTAATTAACTAAATATAGCTGGTTGACCTACACAGTTTTAAATCTTATCTCCATGCCTAATCAGCACAACGTATTACGGTTTTTTTTTTTTTTTGCCCTTTTTGGTTATTCTTGTCAACTATACATGGATAATGGATATAAACTTTGTATACATTTCAAAATTCCAAACCATAAGGACGAGTTGAAAATTTTTTAAAGTATAAGGATCAACTTGAAATTTTACATAACTTAATTTTCCCTATTTTCATTGAAAGGCGTTATTAGATGCAAGAATACGGCCTGCTGCTTGATCTGTTGTTGCGTAGATAATATTTTTAAAAAACAAGTTGACAAGAAGTTCACATTTCTACGTCTCCGCTTCTTTCTAAATCCAATTATCATTAGAGATATTTCAAAAAAAATTTAATATAAGTTTAATATTACTGTTACTGTAATATAAATCTTAATTATTATTGTTATTTTTATTGTATTACGAATACATCTTGTATTTTATGCGTGAAAATTTTTATTTTCTGATATTTTCAGAATTTTGAACGATATATTCAATCCTATCCTTAAGAAAACCTATAATTAAAATAGTACTTGAAAGTAAAATAAAAAAGGATAATAATAGTTACTTAGTTAGGTCATGGCAATTTTTTTAAGAAATTAATTAGACAACTACAAATTGAGATATCTCGATTTTTCAAATATAAGTTTATTATTGTATCTGATCTGACGAAATTTTTTTTACAATTGTAACTATGCAAATTAATATTTTTGAATTATTTTGGAAAAAAATTTATCATATTTTGGAGCCAACTTCCATTCTCCTGAACTAAAAAAGCGGAGTCTTCCTTTCCTTCCAACGAGCACAAGTTTCCGTGATTGACACTTCAACGCATGAATATCGGAAGACGGAAAGTGAAAAATACATTCAATTGAAACTTTCCTTCTCCTTTCTTCTGTGCTTTCTTTCTTCCAAGATCACAAGTGGTCAAGAAGTTGGTCTCTCTCTCTCTGAGCAATTACCCGCTAAAACGTTGTTGATGAATGTTATAGTCCAATTTACCGCTTAATTTCTCACCCTTCTATCTTCAAATTTTATTCTCAGTAATTCATTCTCAATTATTGACTCAAATCTACTCTCTGGATTCTGCGGTGTTATTTCGGGTTCGCGCAAATCGAAAAACTGCGGCCTTTTCTTCTGCGTCATCCATCCGAACAGGTTGGGCTATATATATATATATATATATATATTGAGGAATTGACTGAATATCTATTTCACTATCTCCTCCTATTGTCCTCGTTTGCAAACCCCAAGGAAGACTGAGGCTTCTGAAGAAGATATGGGTTCCGTTGAGGATGATAACTCGCTTGTGGAAGAGGGTCTTCTTCAGGTTTCCTTCTCTATATTGATATCTTAGTTTCGTTGTGATTTTTTTTTTTTAAATCAGTTGCATAATTTGATTGAATTGAACAAGTGTTTGTGGGACTGGATGACTTTCATCTAGTTTGCATTGGTGAAGGCAAATGCTAAAGATGAACCATATCCTCTTTCGTTGTTGAGATAATATTTGGTCAACCATCGGTGTATATAGGAACTTGGAGGAGTGGGAAGCTCCCCTCCTTGTTAAATTCATTAGGTTAACCACGAGATTATTTGGCACTTCGTATCAGGAAGAATAAAAAATCGATGCTCTGAATGTAAGTTCAGTTATCTACAGAATATCTAGATTTAATTTTCAAAATTATTTTTCTTGGTGCATTTTCTGTTACTGTTCATTTTAATTGGTGCGATGTTTACCGATCTGGAATTCTTCATTGAAGGTCGTTGAGTTTGCCAGTATGCTTATGTATGATGATAATCTGTTTCCGACTCGGTGACAAACATTGTTTGGAGTGTTCATTTTGAAACCCTCTATGTTAATATTGTTTCGTCTAGAGGCACATTTCATATGATGAGATTACATTGGGGATCACTTTTTAGGGGGGATGGCTTTGTTTGGTGGGGTGGGAGTGGGACAGATTAAACTGTATAATAAATTACAAAAATTGCATCTCGCAGTGCACCTCATCATTCCACGGATTTGTCAACGCTTTTTAGTGCATTATAGTGGTAACCTAGTCGGTGGTTGTCCGTGTTTTTCTCTTAGTATTCTCTTTTAATCGATCAAATATCTATTGCCATGCTCCATATTTTGAACTTTTCAATTTTTATTATAGTTGAATATATCTCTTACCAGGAAAACTGATGCTTGTCATAGTAGCAAGATAAACTGCAGTTCTTTGACATTAAGATCTTATTTAATTTATTAACGATCCCTAGATGTTTTCCCCCTCTGATGCTCAAAGATAGATGGTTGTCTAGTGAGATATGTGGTTTCCCCATAGTTAGTGCTGTTCTTTTTCTTTTGAACCACTAAAATGAAAATGGTTTCTTGCTCTGTTGTATCATTGTTTCTATTATTTGTGAAGGATGAAAGGAGTGAACGATACACAGGAGATGGCTCTGTTGACTTTAAGGGGAGGCCTGTTCTTAAGCAGAATACTGGCAATTGGAAAGCTTGTCCATTTATTTTAGGTAAGATTTTGGTATTTTAGGTAAGATTTTCGTGTGATGCTCTCACATATCAAACAATGTATTATGTTCATAACATTTTCATACAATATGGATTACAGGCAATGAGTGTTGTGAGCGTTTAGCATACTATGGCATTGCAACAAATCTTGTTACCTATCTTACAAGCAAACTACATGAAGGGAATGTCTCTGCCGCAAGAAATGTCACCACTTGGCAGGGAACATGCTATCTTACTCCTCTTATTGGAGCTGTCCTTGCAGATGCTTACTGGGGAAGATACTGGACAATTGCCGCCTTCTCAGCAATCTATTTCCTCGTAAATATATACTTCTATAGCTTAATTAATCTAGCAAATATTTAATAACCTGTCATCACTCTTTTCCTGCTCACAACAAATAGGACCTAGTGCCTTTTTATTAGGGTTTCTTTTCATGGTGTTTTACATTAATTGTGAGAGATAATGGTTATGGGTATTTCATTCTTGCTTGATTCTATTTTGAAACGATATGGAAATTATCATTTTCATGTTGATTGGATACATAGTGGTTTAGACAGGAGGTAGACGGCCCAATTTTTTAGTGGAAGCTAATATTTTTCTGGATTTCATGTGTGGTTATTCCCTACTTTGATGAATGTCGTGAAAAATCTCAAGGGCCTTTTCTTTTCTGAGAAATTTATAAATTCAATATTTAGAATAAATGGTTTTCATAGCAGCATCTCATCTGTCTATTCCTTTTCCTTTTGTTCCAGTAATTGTTCGTTAATTTCATTTAAATGTTTATCTGATGTTATTGTTTTCCGCAGGGAATGTCTACGTTGACTCTTTCTGCATCTGTTCCAGCATTAAAGCCTGCAGAATGTGTGGGTTCTGTATGTCCATCAGCTACTCCTGCACAATACGCTGTGTTCTTCTTTGGTCTCTATCTGATTGCCCTTGGGACGGGTGGAATCAAACCATGTGTGTCATCTTTTGGGGCAGATCAGTTTGATGATACTGATCCTAAGGAAAGGATTAAGAAGGGATCCTTTTTTAACTGGTTTTACTTTTCTATCAACATAGGCGCTCTTGTATCAAGCAGTTTAATTGTATGGATTCAGGAAAATGCAGGCTGGGGTCTTGGATTTGGCATTCCTGCTTTATTTATGGGCTTAGCTATTATAAGCTTCTTTTTAGGCACACCCCTCTATAGGTTTCAAAAACCAGGGGGAAGCCCTATTACGAGAATGTGCCAAGTTGTGGTAGCATCTTTCCGGAAACGGAGTCTGGATGTCCCGGTGGATAGTAGTCTCCTGTATGAGACAGCAGATAAGAACTCTGCAATTGAAGGAAGTAGGAAACTGGCACATAGTGATGAACTAACGTAACTCACCTCCTTGTATTTCCTGTTATGTTCCTAATGGTTTTTGGCCCTATTTATTGTCACAAATATTGGAGAGGTGGTCTTTTTGTATGCACGTTGACTTTCCTTTGGTTTGTGATGTATACTTTGTTAATCTCAAAGGGAAATCAATTGATTTTGTATGAGATGAGAAATATAGGTTTGTCGTATAGGAAGAGTCTTCTACTTTGGGTCTGGCAAGCTAGTTATTGTTTAGTTATGTTACCTTTTTTTTACCCACTTATTTATGTTACTTGCTTAGTTAAGCATTTGCATAGATAGGAGGAAAACATTTATTGGCTGGGTGCATCCATAAAATCAGGAATGCTTATTAAATAATACTTTATGAATTAGTTGTCCATGTTTTGAGATCTATCTGCACAGGGTGATTAATCTATTTTTGGTTGTTTATTTCAATTTTCTTATCATGTGCATGTTATGGTGTCAAGTGTTTGATGTGAAAAGCACGATAGTTATGTATTTTTTATGAAACTAGGTCTTCATTTATGTTGCCTAATTGGTAATAATTTCATATTTATCTGACCATTTATAATTTGTTTATTAACCAACCCCACCTAGTGAGATAAGGCTTATTGTTTAAGAATTCTAGTCTAGATGGTGAAAAAAGAGTCTGTATTTTTATTTTCCGTGTTAGTGTGTTAGTGTGCATATTATATAAACAAAAGAACTATCCCTTTTTAAACAATTTTTAAGAAGGGATGGAAATTACAGAAAACTCTTGTTAGGGTAGGTTAATGATTGATTGATTGATTATTATTTTTGCTTGTTTCTTCCCTCTTCTAGAATTGTCTTGTATGGGAAACATTTATGCCTTGGAGAAAAGATTTCGTTGGCAGAAAATCTATCCTAAGACTTTTACTCTTTTTCCAGCGTGCATTTTTTTCATACTATTTAATTAATAACCTGTCTTGCTGATGTCATTGTGGCTTACAATTTTTACCATATTTTTAATTAATTTTCATATATTAACAAATGAAATAGGATTTCTGTTTATAGTCAGCAAATTGTTTTCAATTTTTTTTTTTCAATGAAGGTGCCTTGATAAAGCAGCCATTGTCTCTGATGTTGAGATCAAAAGTGGGGACTATTCAAATCCATGGAGACTCTGCACTGTGACCCAGGTGGAGGAATTAAAAATATTGGTCCGCATGTTTCCAATTTGGGCAACTGGAATTGTTTTCTCTGCTGTTTATGCTCAGATGTCCACTATGTTCGTGGAACAAGGATCAATGATGGACACAAGTATTGGTTCATTCACTATTCCTGCTGCCTCCCTCTCAACTTTTGATGTCATAAGCGTTATTTTCTGGGTCCCCATCTACGACAGGATAATCGTTCCAATGGCAAGGAAATTTACAGGCAAGGAAAGGGGCTTCTCAGAGTTGCAGAGAATGGGAATTGGCCTACTTATATCAGTCCTTTGCATGTCAGCAGCTGCTATTGTGGAGATTAGACGCCTGCAGCTTGCAAGAGAGCTTGGCCTTGTGGATAAAGATGTTGCTGTACCCCTTAGCATATTTTGGCAAATCCCTCAATATTTCTTGTTGGGTGCGGCAGAGGTGTTCACATTCATCGGGCAGATCGAGTTCTTCTATGATCAATCTCCAGATGCGATGCGGAGTTTATGCAGTGCCCTGTCATTACTAACTACTTCCTTGGGAAATTACCTGAGCTCCGTCATTGTGACTGTTGTAACTTACATAACAACACAAGGCGGACATATTGGATGGATTGCTGATAACTTGAATGAGGGTCATCTAGACTACTTTTTCTGGCTTTTAGCCGGACTTAGCTTCTTGAATTTTCTGGTTTACCTAGTCTGCGCTTCAAGGTACAAGCAGAAGAAGGCCTCTTAGGATATTTCTGGCGTTGTTACAGAAATCCACGCAGAAGGGTCAAGGATCTGGCGGATTAGGAGTACATCCATGATTTCTTCTTTCTGTCATGATTATGACTGTTGTGTTTGTGAATTAAGGATGCTCAGCAATTATGTAATATATTTATTTCTACGGACATTATGTCATATATCTCTCTAGGGACAAAAGGAAATGTTCATTCTGTGCCTGCTTGATTGTGGGAATGCTGCATCCCACATATAAATGTAAATTATCATCAGTACTCGTGCTTCCATGAATTCTGGGTAATTTTTTGATGGATTAAAGTTCGGCGTCAATTTGATTTCGCCGCCATATATTTCATCATATAAAACTGGTGATCTTTCTCTTCTTGAAACTTGCTTAGGTGATAAACAAAAGGTCGAATGCGTTATCCTCAGTAGGTATGAATTGTTGAGACCCGTCCTATTACTTTGTTATCAAACTTTGCTTGATCTGAAAACATGAGTTTCTACTGTGTCGTCTCTGTTTAGAAGGAGGTGGTAATTTAGGATCATTACTCATTTTTTCTGGTATTAATAGCCTCTCCTCTAGTTTATGATCCGATGTTTGAATCTGAGAACAACGAGAAGTCATATATAAGTTGGTTGTGAACATGTCATGTCACCTTCGGTTAACATGTCAGCAACTTTGACATTCTGAAGTGACGCGGTTGCTTCCATGCAGTAAATTGTAATATAAATTATAAGTATTTGATATTATAAGAACTAACTCGCTCAATGGCAAGATGCCAAGATCAATTTTTTTAAAAATGGGTTTGAATATAATAAATTATGAAGGCTTCCTAGGGGGATTAGTTTGTCGGTGAGGAATACATTTAATCTAAAATAGGTTATGGAGACTAATCTACAAATTGATGCGAAGTATAGGGATCAACTAATTGATTTGATATTTTAAAAGTTTGGCATTGTAAAACATTGAAAATGTTAGTGACAGAAGTTAGAAGGTAAATCATGCATAAAATAATATGGAATTCGTTTTTCTATTCATCTCACTGGAGATGAGATCTAATCTAAAAGGTTTAAATTTAAAGTATTATTATTATATTATATATTATATTTATTAAACTAAAAATTTATAAAAAAATTATAAAATTGTTTTAATAAATTTTCTGTTTTTAATCTAGTTCAGATTTAATTTAACAGTCCAATTAATATTAAAATTTTTATAATTAATGTATATTGATTATTTAGATGTATTCTGCATAGTTCTATGAATAATTAATATTCCCTCCATTTAAAAATGTAAGGTATTTTTTAAGTAATTGGATATTAAAAAATATAAATCATTTTTATTCTTTTAAAGTATAATTATTGTCTTTTTTTTAAAGTGTCCTTAATGATTATGACTTTATATTTATTGAAGGGTGTTTAATGGGGGCAAATATGTAAAGATATGGTTAGTTTAAAGTAGATAACTACTTTATTGAGAGTGAAATTCGGTTAAAAATATCTTGTATTTTTGAACGAAAGGAGTATACATTAATTATAGGATTTTTAATATTAAATTAAATCTAATTCAAATTAAAAATAACAAGATTTATTAAAATTATTTTATAATTTGTATAATTTTTTTACCTTAATAAATATAATATATAATAATATAATAAATCTGTACTATCCACGCTTTCAAAACTCATCCCATAGATGACCACGTTGGGATGAGCATGGAATCCAGACCACATCCTTCCTTAATTAGAAACAAGTAGCTTAATGAAGCATGAAACTCTTTTCATGTTGGTCGAATTAAATATCTGTCTCTCTTTTATGTGGTCAACCATCATCTAGTTCACTGTTTTTGTCTCTTGTTGCCGATTGCAAAGCTATCTTCTGAAGAGATGGGTTCCATTGAGGATGATAGCTCCCTCGTGGAAGAGGTCCCTCTTCAGGTTCCATTCTCTTTCTCCCACAGCTCAATTTGCAGTTGGATATTTTAAATTAGCTGCATAATTTGATTGAACTGAGTGAGGGTTTAACGAAACAGTAGTTTCTGAAATACTGGGTTTATTACGGGATTGCGTTCGTGGAGGAAAATACTAAAGAAGAAGCATGTTTGCTGTTGTTATTGCGGTAATAATATATTTAGTCAACCATCGGTGTCTAGTCTAGATTGTCTGGTAGAAAATTGAAGTTTCTCCCCTTATAAAATTCCTTTAATCAACCTGTAGATAACTCATGCTGTGTATCAGGATGGGAAGATAAAACAATGTTAAGTTTACATATCTTCATGATATATTGATCTAGTTTTGCAGGGTTAGTTGGACGTTGAGCGGTCCATAATCCTCCAATGAAGGCTAGGATTTTATATATGATGATAATCTCTTTTCATCTCAGCGACGGAAGTGAACGTTAGTATGGAGTTATTGTTTTAGTAGAAACTAGATTTGTATTGCTTCTTCTTGGAGGCCAATTTCACATGTTAAGATGAATAACTTTAACTACACATGCTAGTTCTAAATTGGACAAAGTTCAACTAGGTTTAATCCGATTGCGTGGGGTCTATCAAGTGTAATAAGAACAAAAGCTGAATTCATTGGTTTGTGTCACCTGCTTTCTGGTGATATCCAAAACAGTACTGCAGCTATAAATCCTAACAATCATAATGAGAAGTTCGAAATGTTGAACAAAAATGTGGAAGACCAATTTTCTGAACAATCATAATTGATGTATGGACCGTGAGGGTTGAACTCATGATGTTCTTGTAAAAGTTTGTGACAGTGAATGTAGACAAACAGGAAGACTGCTTTGTTTAATCCTTTGAGCTTAATTGTAAAACTAAGCTACAGCCAATGTCTTTCATTTGATGGGGGGAAAAAACTCTAGTGAATTTCCAGATAATGCTGATGATGTATTGTAATTTAATATAAAACAAAGGTACTTAGTGTAGTATGATCCTATGATTTCTCCAAACATTTTGTAGTGCATTGGATTGGTGACCTGATTAGTTTTTGGCTGTGTATTATGTTCTACTTAATATTCTCATTTCACCAACGAGACTTGAGGATGCATTTTTTTACTATTTTTTTTTTTTGGGTCTCTGCCTTAGAGTGAATCACTTGATTTAGTGATATCTGTTACCCAAGACAACAGATGCTTGACATGATGGCCAAAGAAACTGCAATGCTTTGACATATAACTCTTTTATCTGGCGGTCCATTGTTTATGTTTTTTCCCATATTCCTTTCCCTCTGATACTCAGATAGAATGTTATTTTGCAAGATATGTGGTTTTTGCATTGTTGGTGCCATTGTTTTTCCTTTGAACCCCTAAAAGGAAAGCCATATGTTGCTTTGTTGTCTTGTTATATCTGAAGGATGAAAGGGGCCGGCAATACACAGGAGATGGCTCAGTTGACTCTAAAGGGAAGCCTGTTCTTAAGCAGGATACTGGCAATTGGAAAGCTTGTCCGTTTATTTTAGGTAATATATAGTGCTGCTCATGCATGCTAAACAGCATATATTGCTCATAACATGTTTATCTAACATGAATTACAGGCAATGAGTGTTGCGAACGTTTAGCATATTATGGCATCGCAAAAAACCTTGTTACCTATCTTACAAGGAAACTACATGAGGGAAATGTCTCTGCTGCAAGAAATGTCACTACCTGGCAGGGAACATGCTATCTTACTCCTCTTATCGGGGCTGTCCTTGCAGATGCTTACTGGGGAAGATACTGGACAATTGTTGTTTTCTCGACAATTTATTTCCTTGTAAATATATACTCTTATTAAAAGCTTTATTTTTCTGGAAAATATTTGTAGAACATGTCATCTCTCTTTTCCTGTTTACTCTTATAAAAGCTTTTACGTGGACTTCCTTTTTTCTTTAGTACTACGTTAATCATGAGAGGAAATGAATAGGAGTAAGTTATTCTTGCATGATACTATTATGGGTCAGCCATGAACATGATCCCTGTTGTGCTGATGAAAACACAACGATTTAGGATGGAGGTTTAAGGCTCAATTTTTGGGTGGAAGCTATTATACATCTGGAGTGCCTTGTGCATATATGAAAGTATTCCCTTGAGACTGCTTGAAACATGGCATTCATCTCTTTAGAGGATTCACCAAACAGTAGATGTAATGCTGAAATAAACTTATGTCAAGCTGAATTTCAATATTTGTGATTTCATAAGCTCTTCTAGGCATACAAATTATGCTGTAAATACATAACGCGCTCAGTCTTATTTATATCTAACAATCGAATTCTTTTGACACATTTAGTTCTTAAATCAGAGAAGAAAATCTCATATTATACTGCCAAAAATTTCTGGAAGGGAAAATCAGAAAATCAGTTTGGACTTTGGAGTAATCTGTGACCTGAAATTCCTTCCTTAAGACTCCTTTCAGATTAACCTAGAGTTTCTTATCATAACCAGTTTTTTTTTTTTTTATAAATCTCTTTGGTTACATTAGAGGCAGGTATTTCCATTTTGAAGACTGGTATGAAAGTCCTTGCTGCATTCTGTATTCTGGAAAACGAGTTCAATTTTAGGAATAGATGGTGTTTATATCAGCATGTCATCTGGGTATTCTTTTTCATTTTGTTTTAAATGGGGTTATTTAATTTCCTTCAAATGTCTTAATAGCTGATGGGGCTATTTCTTGCAGGGAATGTGTACATTGACTCTTTCTGCATCTGTTCCAGCATTAAAGCCTGCAGACTGTGTGGGCTCTGTGTGTCCATCAGCTACAGCTACACAACATGCTGTGTTCTTCACTGGTCTCTACCTGATTGCACTCGGGACTGGTGGAATCAAACCATGTGTGTCATCTTTTGGGGCAGACCAGTTTGATGATACTGATCCCAAGGAAAGGATTAAGAAGGGATCCTTTTTCAACTGGTTTTACTTTTCAATCAACATTGGCTCTCTCATATCAAGCACTTTAATTGTATGGATTCAAGACAATGCAGGTTGGGGTATTGGATTTGGTATTCCCTCTTTATTTATGGGCTTAGCTATTGTTACATTCTTTTTAGGAACACCCCTCTACAGGTTCCAGAAACCAGGGGGAAGCCCTATTACGAGAATGTGCCAAGTTGTGGTAGCTTCTTTCCGGAAACGGAATCTGGATGTCCCAGTAGATAGTAGTCTCCTGCATGAGACAACAGATAAGAGCTCTGCAATTGAAGGAAGTAGGAAACTGGCACATAGTGATGAATTGACGTAATTTTTCTGAGCTTCCTGTCATGTTACTAACGTTTATTGGCCTTATTTAATTATCACTGTCATGAATTGACGTAATTTTTCTGAGCTTCCTTTCATGTTCACTCTTGAAGCAATTTTTTAGAAGGGGATCCAAACTGTAGAAAATTGTTCCTGTTACACTTTTCCAGCGATGACTTTTTCCTTTTGTTTTTGTTTTTTTTTAATAACCTGTGATAAGTTTTAGCATGCTTTTAGTTCTCATATGTTAACAAATGAGAAGGGATTTCTGTTCCGAATCTGATTAATATTTTCAATTTCTGTTTTCAATGAAGGTGCCTTGATAAAGCGGCTGTAGTTTCTGATGTTGAGCGCAGGAAAGGTGACTACTCAGATCCATGGAGACTCTGTACTGTCACCCAGGTGGAGGAATTGAAAATATTGGTCCGCATGTTTCCAATTTGGGCAACTGGAATTGTTTTCTCTGCTGTTTATGCTCAGATGTCGACAATGTTTGTGGAACAAGGAACAATGATGGACAGAAGTATTAGTTCGTTCGCCATTCCTGCAGCCTCCCTCTCAACTTTTGACGTCTTAAGTGTTATTTTCTGGGTCCCCATCTATGACAGGATAATCATTCCAATTGCAAGGAAATTTACAGGCAAGGAAAGGGGCTTCTCAGAGTTGCAAAGGATGGGAATTGGCCTTTTTATATCAATTCTGTGCATGTTCGCAGCTGCTTCTGTGGAGATTAAGCGACTGCAGCTTGCTAGAGAGCTTGACCTTGTCGATAAAGCTGTTGCTGTGCCCCTTAGCATATTTTGGCAAATCCCTCAGTACTTCTTGTTTGGTGCAGCGGAAGTATTCACATTCATTGGGCAGCTTGAGTTCTTCTATGACCAATCTCCAGATGCAATGCGGAGTTTATGCAGTGCCCTGTCATTACTGACTACTTCCTTGGGAAATTACCTGAGCTCTTTCATTATTACTATGGTATCTTACTTGACAACACAAGGAGGACAGGCTGGATGGATTCCTGATAACTTGAATGAAGGTCATCTCCATTATTTTTTCTGTGTTTTAGCTGGAATTAGCCTCTTAAATTTGTTGATTTACTTAGTCTGTGCCACAAGGTACAAACAGAAGAAGGCCTCTCGAAATTGATTTCATTTATATTGTACAGAGATCGAGTTATGTTAATAAAGATATGTCTGATTAAGATTGGAAGTATATCCCTGATTTCTGATTACTTCCTTTTATGGTTATTATTGCTGAGTTTGCGACTTCAAGATGCTAAGCAATTATATAATATATTATTAATACAGATGGAGGAAAATCTTCATGCTGTGCTTGGTTGAAAATATTCTTTGACGAAAGTCAAATTCTTCGAAGAATCTGTCCTCCATTTATGTCAATTATCTGCAGTATAAGTGCTGTAACAATTACTTGAGTAATTCATTACTGGATTTAGATGATTTAGGCTTAACAGTGAATTTTGATTTCCCTATCATGTGTTTCATCATAGAACTGTAAGGTTGTGTTTGGATGAGTGGATTTAAGTTGAAAATTTGAATTTAAAATCTTACATTTGAAATTCATAAATTTTAAATTCTTTGTTTGAATGATATAAAAAATTTTAAATTACAATATTAAAATTCTTTGTTTGGATCTAAGGTAAAATTTTAAATTTTAAATTCTATATTTGAATTTAGAAGAAACTTGAAATTTGACGATTCAAATGGTCAACTTTCAACGAGATCACACAAAGCTGATTGGGACCGTGGTATTGGTGACGATCAGGACGGGATGTTCAACTTCCATCGAGACCAGATTGTCACAATGATGGGGACGAAACAGCTGACTTCCATCAGGACTGGACCGACGTCGACAACAGGCACTGGACGGCTAATTTCTACAGGGACTGAATCAACGACAATGACGGGGATCGGTCGGCAAACAACCACTAGGATCAGACCGAAGGCTACAACGGGAACGAGACGGCAGACTACCACCAAGATTGGACCAGCAGCAACGAGGGGGTTCAGACGGCCGAGTCTCATTGAGATCGAACCGATGCCTACAACAGGCGTCGAACGGTTGACTTCCATCGAGACCAGATTGTCACAATGATGGGGACGAAACAGCTGACTTCCATCAGGACTGGACTGACGTCGACAATAGGCACTGGACGGCTAATTTCTACAGGGACTGGATCAACGATGATGACTGGGATTGGACGGCAAACAACCATTAGGATTAGATCGAAGGCTACAACGGGGACGAGACAGCAGACTACCACCAAGATTGGACCAGCAGCAACGAGGGGGTTCAGACAGCCGAGTCTCATTGAGATCGAACCGATGCCTACAACAGGCGTCGAACGGTTGACTTCCACCGAGATCGGACCGACGACGAAGGCTAGCACTGGATGGCCGAGTTCCATCGAGATTGGACAGACGACTAAGAAGGGCACTAGACGGTCAAATTCCACCAAGCTTGGACTGAAGATGAAGATGAAGATGGTTACTGATGGCCAACTTCCACTAAGATTGGACTGAAGCCGATGATGAGGACCAAATGGCTAACTTCCATTGGGACCAGACCGACGCTAATGATGGGATCGAACAACAGGCTTCCATCAGCACCGGACCGGATCGACGGTGACCAGACTAAAGGGATGGCAACTGAAGGCGATCGTTCGGTCCTTGTTCGGTGGAAGTTGGACTTTCAATCCCCGTCATCACTAAAGGTTGGTCCTGGTAGAAGTTGGTCGTCTAGTTCCTGTTGTCGTCATCAAACCGGTGCTTGTGGAAGTTAGCAGTCCGATCTCCTCTGTCATCATCGGTTCGATCCCGGTCGAAGTCGGCTGCCCAGTCCCTACCGTCATTGTCAATCAGGTCCCTATAGGAGTCGGCCGCCTAGTCCCTATTGTCGTTGTCAGTCCAGTCTTGTGGAACTAGGCCATCTGGTCTCCACCGTTGCCATTTGTCCATTCAAAGTGAAAGTCAGCTGTCCCATCCCTATTGTCGCCGTTGGTCTAGTCTCGATGTAAGTTGGTCATCCCGTCCTTGTTGTCGCTGTCAGTCCAGTCCCGATAGAAGTCAGTCATCTCGTCACCATCGATTTGGTCTTGCTCGAAGTCAGCCATGCCGTCCTCATCGTCGCAGTTAGTCTGGTCCCACTGGAAGCTGGCCATGTCATCCTATCCCATCTAGGTCAATAGTGGTAGCTTGTTTCTATCAACTTTGGTGGTTCGGTCTAATTACCATTGGCAGGACGATTAAGCCTTCATATATTTAGGTCAAATTACAAAAGATTTTGAGTTAGAATTTGAAATAATAGGGGTTTAGAAAGGATTTTAAATTACAAAGAGATTAAGGGAGAATTTGTATTTGGATTTGGATCAATGCATTTTTAATTATCCAAACAATGGATTTGGCTCAAATCCAAATGCATGTGTATCCAAACATAGCATAAGAGCATTCTTATGGTGAACTTCCTTGAGAGGTATGATGGTCTATTTAGTTGTTTGTTCATTAAACATGAAGAGATGCATTACCTTTGTTGAACATGCATTTCAATCTTCATTTGTCCATTGAATAAACAAATGAACACACATACACACGAATCATTGTAGAGAGAAGCATGCTCACTGTTTTATTTTATTCATAAATACACGAACATGCACCACTTTAATGATGATGATGATGTACGAAAGCGACTTTTAAAGTCGGTTAACAAGATTGATCATGTCAATAGCTAGTTGTCCTAGTAACAATGTCATCTCCCTTCCTTAGAGGTCCTACATTCAAATTTATCCCTTCCTCAGAGAAGGTCCTACATTCAAATGTATAATTGACGTGTTTGTGATGGTGTCTCCCTTTCTTATGGCAAAAAAAATTAGATTAAGGTAATTACTTTTAAGCAAAAACCGAGATTGATTAGATCCTCATGACATCTCATTACCTGAAATAAAGAACAATGATGACTTGTAGGGAAATATTAACACAACTATTTGTAATACCTTACTGGGAAATGGTCAAGTGCATGATCTCTATTGCAAATTATGACACTCGGGTCCATCAAAAGTAGGAACAAATTTGAGCACCAAGATCCTATGGGGGAAAATTTATAATGAATCTCAGAAATTTTTAGACCAATAAAAAAGTGACACCAGTGAAAGTCACATGCAAAGGAGGAAAAAAGTTTTCCGGGTGCCTGCCTTTAAGTAATAGATAGAGGTTGGACTTGCATATTCAGTACTCTTTTTAGGCTTCCAGGGACAACATATTATTATACATTGGGTTGTAATATGAACAATAAATACAGTGAATCATCATTCATCGTACAGATGATACAATAATGATTTGCCTCACAACTAATCAGTTGACCCTACAATTGAACTGCTTTTCCACAGGTTTCATGCCTCTAAAAAGGGATGCGTTCTGTGAAGAATATAGATCCTATGCATCAAGCCTTTTCCCAAAATGACATGAACAGATCCTTTGCACCTATGCACTATTTGTACCCTTTGGACCACAATAACCAAGAAACCTCAAATTGAAAAAATACAGGTGTCTCAAATCATTTTCTTGACCCTTGATTCCCAGAAGGAATAGCCAACCCAAGCTCCTCGCATAGCTGTTCATCTGGTTGCAAGCTACCTGGAATTGCACCAAATAGTCTTCTAGATACTTCAAACCCAGAAGCAATATGATGTATATATGTCGATACATCCTCACTCTCTGCTGCAAAGTTAATGATGCAGACATGTAGCTATTTGATGTACTATTTGACAACTGTCTCACAAGTGGCTTGTCCAGTTCAGCAACCTTGAGAAAACGTTCGGTGGCAGCCTCCCATGAAAGCTCGTGTCTATGAGCATCAGTAAGTTGAACAGGCTCTTCACTCACCGCTTTTAGTGTGGCTTTCACAAACCCTTTATCATTGTCATATGTTCGACAATTCGGGAACTGCTTGAAGAAGTCATTTGAGGGATGATTGGCACATACAACAACTTTTCCCATAGCCAAAGCTTCAGCAGTTGTCGTGCAAACCACATCTGTTGTGCTAGGATTTAGAAACAACTTGTAACTGGTACTCAGAAACAAGAATAGTTGATTAGTACATATTATAGGCAGTACATTCTCCAAGTCTTCTATTTGATATATTATTCAGAGAAGACAAATTTAGGAAAAATAACGAAAAAGTTCATAAATGGATTGCTTTTCCCACTTGTTAGTTTGCTAACCATTAGCTGATTATTGTTGACTGTGCTTAGGTCCTCATCAGAGTAAGGAAGCGTCCATTAAAAGGATCTTCAGTCCTTGAAAACACAACTAAAATGAGACCAAATTCTACCAATAGCATGCGAAGGACAAGGTTGGCCAAAGTCAATTATTATCAACAAATACCCAAATGATTTTGTAGATGCATTCATATTCGTAACTAGATAATATTTTATGTTGTTACCATATTTCCATATTCCTAAAAAGTAAAAAGGACCTAGCATGAAACTCGATCTTCTTAATTTCAGGTTAGCATAATGTTTGATGTCTACCACCAGTGCTTAGATACTATCATGTCAATATAGGATATATCAAATTTAAATTGAGTCAAAATTACTTTCCCAAATTATGCACGCCAGGCACTGTTATCTAAATGACCAAATATGTCTTTAATCCATAATCTAATTGAGATAAAATTCAAGTTTTGAATTGGCTTTATAAAAAAATGAGCAAATCAGTACGAAGCTTACTCATGAAATTGAGGATCAGCATGATCACATGCTGGGTGAACTCTAACTGCTAATTCCAACTTCTTTGCTGCTTGTCGAACTGCATCTGAATCCTCTCCACTGCCAAATAAATCAACTTCAAGCCCAGCTAATTCCTTTTGGTGATTGCGAAGAAGTTTAAGCAGCTCCTTGTATCCTTTGCTCCATACCATCTTCCCTATGTAGTAAGCACCTTTGGCAAAGGCTTGATCTCCTTTCTGTTGTTGCTCTACCTTTTTCTTGCCAATTGCAAGGAATTTAGGATTAACTCCATGAACATTACACACGATGGAACGAGGGTAGTCCTGGGTAGCAGCAGATAGTCTAATTACCTGCAATTACATGGCTAATCAATTCCAGGAGGGGATGCAACGGTTGTAAATTGTTTCTAGTTATTTTCCCATTAACAAAAAAATGTAAGGAAAGTTCTTTTGAACTAATTTGCTTAGCTGTTTAATACTGTTGACAAGGGATTAATTTTCCACGGTTGCATTGTTCACTGCTCATCAATGAATTACTTATAGGCCAAAAATTAAAGGGTAATTGTAATTAGACCCTATTGCAATGTCCTCCTCATTCTAAAAAGAAAATTACTATGGCCACGTTTGATCCATTTAGCCCAATTTCAAGAAGCAACATATTACCTAATATGTAAAATTACTAAAATACCCTTCATATTATTTAATACTTCTTTTGCTTTCAGTTACATCTTCAACCACATGTGAACCCAAGAGCTAGAAGGTTTATATATTAAGAGATAGCAATCTTAAAATGAAGTTGTCCTTGTGAAAATCAGGGCTTCGTAAAAATTAAGAAGCAATCTGGGCTAGATATATGAAAGTATAGGAATTCTTTCTAATTCCAAGGATAGAATACAAGCCCACAGGAAACCATCACGATCTGCAAGAAGCAAGACTTGTGCTATCATCACCTGGTCCATCAGGGTCATGCACCAGTCGAAAATAGTGGAAACCAATTATTTCTATCATCAGTCTATATAATTTCAGTAGGTCAAATAAGAAAGGACTTCTTAAGAGAGGCAACAGGGATTGCAAATTCTAAATATTGTTCTTATTAAGATTTTAAAGAAAATGGAAGTTTCCAAAAGCTTTTGAAGGCATTATGCAAATAAGAAAGATTAGTAAAGAGGCAATGGAAGATAGGCCAAAAAAGAGAGTCAAGCAAAGGCCTCTATGAAAGAAATATCCCCTTCTTATCTGCCGTCCCAACTTTGAAACAAAGACCATTTCCCTCACTTAAGGAAAGAAATCAAGAAGTGGTTGAGATGGATTATAGCCCTAACATAGGACTTGAAAGAAATTCAGAGAGTACTGTGGACTTGAGAGGAAAGCAACAGCCATTTACCAACAGAAATAATGCCTTTTGGATACAAAATATAAACTCAAGACAAAAGTTGTGACCAAGGACAATCTTCTAACCTATGTTATCATCACTTCTCAACTTTCTAAAAGCAAAACAATGAAAATACCAAGTGTCACCAGCCTCTAAACCACAACCATCGGCAACCAAAGAGAGATAATAGAAAGTAAGGTTGAGCAGGTTGATACAAACAAGAATCATACAAATATCAAAAAGAAAGAAAGCCTACTTCTAAGCCTCCAAACTCAAAGATACCTTTAGAACCACAACGATAACCTTTTCTTTTAAAAAAACCTTGATTTACCTCTCAATAGTAATGGGATGCTAAGCTAGTTAATAGCAATGTCAATGACAAGATTACCACTTCAATCACCTTGGCTAACCCAAAATTGGAAAAGTAACAATTTCAAACTGCAAGTAAAGACCAAAATGCTAAGGAAAAAAATAGATAAAAGTCCAATATTGATATAAGGACATACCTTGTGACAATATATACCAACAACCCAATCGTTCATATATTTCAACAAAAAGGAGATCATCCTTCCATTCTTCTCTCTCTTCACATATTCCAAATAATTAGTGTGAATAATTCCTATAACTAGCTGAAATTTAGCTTTCCAACTTTTACCATGGTGATACCATGTTAGGTGCTCTGGCTCCTCCAAAACAGCAATATCTGCTTTTTTTTCAGGGATGATTTCTGAAATATCTCCAACAGCAAGAATGCTCCTTTTATCTCTAGAAAACTGCATTTCTAGTTATATCATAACTTAGTTCAACAGACATGAGAAATTGTTGCTAGGATGGCAGAAAAACACTAAGTTTTTTTCTAACATAATTGCAAGTTATACATGGGAATTGGGAATAGTAAAAGGTAATTAGGGGAATTAGGGATAAAACGGTAGTTTGGATATTTGGTTATATACTCTATAAATACAATCTTAAGGAAGTAATGGGGTCTTGTGAATGAAATTGTCATCTCTCTCTCTCACTCTTCTACCTCTATCAGGAAGTATATGATAATTACAAAGAAACTATGTGAAAATTTCACAAACTGATAGATGGTTCAAAGTTCAGATTATAACATAGATATCTTTACCAAATTAATGGATAATAACCAAAAATATTTCATAAGAAATCATATAACTAATAACAGTAGCACATCAATGAATCAATATATAGTCATAAACCTAAATCCACCATAATTTCCAATAGAAAACCTCACTAACAATTCAAGTAAAATAAAATATTCATCAATCATGATTTCAAAGCATGAACCACAGTTATTAATTTGTGCATGTGTGTTGTGAGAGTGTGTGCGGACCTGCAATTGCAACTGTCTATGTAACATGTAAAAACAGCCAGAGCCATCACCTTCGAAGGATAAAACTTTATATTGAAATTAGATGTGAATCCAACCCTCTCCTCAAGCCATCGTCTGACATATTTCTCTTGATCTAAGGGTGAACCAAATGTAATGTTGTTGGGATATACAAGAACTTGATCTTCTATAGATAACCAAGGGATCACCAAAGTGACATCTCTTTGCCCATTGTTGGCCAGATATGCAGCACGAAACAGAGGATTCACAGCAGTTCCCGTTAACCATGGAAGGCTAGCAGTTGTAAAAATAGCAATATGTTGTCTCCTATCCATCTTGTTATCAGATTTAATTATAAAATCTCATCACACTTTTGAACTCACTTGCAGATGAAAAGCAGCTATAAAATGCAGCTTTAGAATATTACCAGATGGCCTTCCCTAATGGCAGCAAAAAATAAGAATAAAAATGTTAGCTAAAAATCATGCAAATAAAAAATGATCACTCAAGCAAATTTAGTTTTAAAATGGCCTGAGTCAATCAAATCAAATAAAGAAGTAACGCATAAAAGTAAGGAGTATCGGCTCTCCATGAAAAGTAGTGAAATGATAAGCGCTCAACAAATGAATTGATATTTGACAGCAAGTTTGTCGGCTTCACAGATAAAATGGTTTAAGAAACATTGGTAAGGAAAGAATTAGGTACAAAAGACATGGGTATACACCATATTTCTCTTCCATTATCATACAAAGGAAAAAAAATTACCTCTCTCTTTCAAATGATAGTCAAGACCCGAAGCTTGTAACAAGAACAATTTAAATTAAATCTTAATGGCAAAATATAGAAATCAAACACTATCTTTTCTTCTAGAGACTGATTAGGGAGATCCACCAGTCACCTCAGCTTCTCATAAATGCATCAAACTTCAGAAAAATCAGCAACCTAATTCAGCATAACATACTCTCTGTCCTTTATTTTAGTTATGAAGCATACCAAATTTTATACTTCACATCGCAGGAATCAAAAAGAGCATCCAAACATGTACAACTCGCATACATACCAACACGAACACATTGGATGCATCCTACTAAAACCCTCCTCTTAGCTACCCTAAAAGGTTTCAGCACCAAAGAAAAATTAAAAACAGATTGGAATTGTACCTCGGAGAGTTTAACAAGAACTTAATCGAAGCAGAAGATCAGATTCGAGAAAGGAAAGGAATTTGGAAGTGAAATGATTGAGGAAATTAGGGCACATAGGAAAGAAGAAGGAAATGAGTGAGACGAACGAGACTTGAAGGAGAGAGAATATGTCTTCTTCTTGGTGTGACTCTGAAGAAGTTAAGGGCCGTCTCCTCTCGTCCCTTTCATTTCGTTGACAACAGCCGTTCGGTGAGACATGGTTGCATTGAAATGAGAATTCGTGCTCCAAGACGATGTCGTTTTGTCGCCAACAACTTCGGGTTCGGGGTTCGTCGTTCGTACGAATTTAGTGCATTGGTTTTTGATTGGCCAAAATTTAATTCATTAAAAATTTCATTATAATAAAATTTGTATTTAAATATATTTTTTTAAAAAATCAATTTAATAAACTAAAAATTATTTAGAATATATACAATAAAATATACTTTTAAATATATAATTATTAAAAAATTAATTTATGATTATTTATAATTTTTATTATACAAATATAATATATAAGAAATATTTAAGCTGATAAAAATTTTAAATAAAAAATTTATAAATAATATAAAAAAAATTTATTTGAAATATTGTGTACATTAAAAATGTGAAATTAAAACAGTTGGGAAAACATTCGTAGTAAAATAATTATAAATAATAGAAATTAAGTTATTTTTATGATAAACTCAAATCAATTTTTAAAAATGGAAATTTTGCATAAGAGAAACTTAGATAAAAAAAATTTTGCTCAAAAAAAAAAAACTTTGCTAAAGGTATCGGTATGTGGCATGCGTTTTAAAGTAAAAAGATACCTTGTTTTGTCAGTTAGCTAAACAAAAGTTCATATGATCAAAACCAAAAGCAAGCACGGGTTACATTAATTAAATGGATTTTCAAGGACTTTTTAAATGTATTTCAAATGTGCTCTAATTTGATAATATTTTATTTAAATAACATCTCACTTTTTAAAAATAAAAAAGTAATTTCAAAATGTGAGAAGTTACAAAACCAAATAAGCTTTTAGGAATTAATTATTTTTATTTTAAGCTAATATATATTTTTTCATTAAAATTTCCCCACATTATCTTTCCACAACTGCATTATTTTTAGAATAAATGAGTAATATATGTTCTAAATTATTTCTTAAATAACATTATAGACCTTAAATTTGTATACTATATTAATTCTTTTATCAACTTTTAAATTCTTAACACCTAACTCTTTAACATTAAATATAAAAAAAGGCTATTATTTTTTAGACGGTGGAGCCCACTTATATAGTGGCATTCACCTTTGACTCTTCTCTTCCCTTCCTCTCTCATCACTGTAGCTCAATTCATACACTTCTTTGCCCAAGTTTTATGGATTCCACACTCAAACTTTATCAGGAAACTAGAATCACACGTAAATTCTTTTCATAGTTGGTGGATAGATTTTATCTTCCCATGGCCACTTCTTGTAACACTCTAAAATTTTATATTAATTTTTTTTATAAAAATACAATTTAATATTCAAGCATTAATTACTAAAAACACTTAGCATGATAGAAAAGTGTCTACAATAATACCCTAAATTTTAACACTTATTTTTTTGCAAATTAATAGTTTGATAAATTATTTTAATAATTTTAAAGTCTTAACATGGTAGAAAAGAGAGTTATAAAAACATTTCACAAATAGTCTAGCAAGATAAAAAGGGTTTATCATAGTAGAAAGATTGAAACATAATAAATTTACTTTATCATGGTAATTAAGAAAAGCAATTATTAAATACTTCAAATATACACCATTGTTATAATTTCAACAAAAAATGACAATTAAGGACCCCCTGAGGATATTAATTTCAATTAGGGACCATAAACTATAATAAAAATCATAAAAATAAATAAAAATAAAATTATAATAATATTAAATGTATATAAAATAAATATAAGATAAAATATAAATTATAATTTTATAACTTGTCAAATATAAGTGAGTCTTAATTAAATTAGATATGAGTAGACTAAAGTATTTACATTTGCACATATACCTATCAACATTTTTATAAAAAATGATCTCAAATCATATTTTATATATGTAAATTATTCAAAAATAAAGTTGGCTTTTAGTAGGATATAATTTTTAAAATTTTATATTTTTAAAATTTTTTAAGCTTTTTTTTAATATTATGTTTAAAACTATTCAGTTTTCTGAAAATCACTCCAGTTCCCAATCTAACTTTGATTTTCAATTTAATAGTGGCTTAACTCTTGTTCAATCTAGCTCAATCATAAAAATAGTTTTTTGGTCCAAATCAAGTCATTAACGATAGTTCCAGTTGATAGTTATAAGTGCAAATGTAAATACTTTTGAGTTTACTCATATATAATATAACTAAGATTCACTTATATTTGACAAGTTATAAAATTATAATTTATAATATTATTAATTTACAACATTTTATTAACATACTATAAATTTTTTCTTATATTTATTTTATATATACATTTAATATTATTATAATTTTATTTTTCTTTAATTTTATGATTTTTAAATGGTGAGAACAACATTGCTCTTCTGAAAATAGTTTAAGGGCAAAATTGTACTTTAACTCAGAAATTAGGTCCTATTAGCAACAATAACGAACATTCAAATGGTGGGGGTAACATTACTCTGATGAGTAATTTAGGAACAACATTGCTCTTTTGAAATAATTTAGAGAAAAAATTGCACCTTAACCCATCATAATATTAAAATTTCATCAATTTATTTTTCCAAAAATTCATCCAAAAATAAATTAAAAATTTAAAAATTACCCTCAAGTTTCAAATCACCATTTCGTAACCTCTGAAACATTTATTTATACTCAAATAAATATCTAATAATTAGAAACATATCCTAACATCTCAGATCTATCATAAACTCAATCATATAAGTCTAGAGTTTAACTCAAAATTCTCAAAATTGAGTTCTAACATTAAAGAAATATTCTATTACATTTATTATACCTCTAGCAACCTTATTATTTATTAAATTATCATAACCTCATATTAACTATCCTATAAAAAGATCCTAATTAAAAAATTTTCTCGATACATCAAATTAATACTACTGTTAGATAGCTCTAAATGAGTGAAAAATATTTATGAAGAGATCTTGAAAAATGAAAGTCATTTTATACACCTAAATGATTTAAAAATTTAGAACCTTAAATAAAATAAACAATAATCCGCAGAAGTTGAAATGAAAAAAAAAAAGGAGGAAGAAAACTATGTGAGAAAATGAGAAGAAGGAGGTGCTATTTATAATAGGATATAGGTCTCACAATCGTTTATTATTATTTGTTATATATATATATATATATATTTTAAAGGGGAAAAAGTCAAAACCACCCAAAGTTGGTCTTGACTTTTGCCCTTCCCTACCTTTTTTTAAATATATTAGTTTTTTTAATTAATTATAATTTAAGCTAATAAGCATTTATTATATGATTTTGAGCCTAAATTTAACCCATATTTAAATATGTAAATATGTAATTAACTTTAAAAAATTTTAAATACAAATTTATTTATTCTAAACTTCAAAACAATATGAATTTCTAATTTTGAATTCTCAACAAAAACTCAATTTTCACAATTTATTTATTATCTAAGGGTCAGGATGTTACATCTATCATTGTAATAAAGAGTAAAATTAATTTTTCAAAAAACTATCATAGTAAATAATGGTTTACCAACATAAAAATAGCTTTGGATATTATTTTCTTTTCAAAACTCTGCCAAGTTTAAAAGAAAAATGGGACTACCATGGTAATTAAAGATTAAAATCACTTTGTGAAGTTCACCATGGTAGAAAAAGCTTCCCTTACAATGAAATATTGCACAAAACAGACTACTATTTTACCATGGTAGAAAAGATTTAAACATGACAAAATAAGCCTACCATGATAATTTATGAAGTAAATAATGTACTTAAATAATTATCAATTAAATTGGTATCAAATAAAGGTATCTAATGGAATCTTATTGCAAACAAATAGTTGAAAATTCATCATTTGATCAGAGAAACATAAGTAGACAAAAAGCATGGTTCCCAGGGTAGTTTAATCCCAAACCTTATGTAGACATGTAATTGTCAACAAAGTGATTCAAGAGTACACCTATAACAAGCACACTAAACTCTAGTTAGGTGACCCCACTTCCCAAAAATAAGGTTCATCATCAATACTTAAATGGGTCTGAACAATGCTTTTCACACTTTAATACCATGATTTATCTAAAGTTCACTCTAGAATGTACACTTGAGAACATTACATTCACAATTAATATCATCTAGCAAACATATTCTAAACAAGGAAAAAATAAAGTCATAATTGGGCTACGATCACACAACACAATTGTATAGTCATAACTGGCTAATCAAGATGTTCCAAAAATTTTGATCATAGCATTAATACTTCATGTAAGCAATCAAAACCATGAGAGTTACATAGAATCCTCATAGCACCTTATATGAAGTTAATAAAAATATAGCGTCTATATGCTCAATTGAAATCATAATTATCTTAAGTTGATAATTATACATTACATAACCCAAAAAGAGGCAAGACAAAAGAAATTAGTGTCTCATACTGTTGGATAAGGAGGTGTAGCGAAAGATTAAAAAAATTTAAATCTCTATTCTAATATGAACCGAACGAATTTGTTTAAGTCAAGGTGAATTGAACAATTACCTTTTAATTTGCAAGCTCTTCATATATTGTCTTCAAGAAATTAGATCGCAGGAGCTAACAACGTAGATATGCTCCCTCTAATGGTATCCACGCCAATAGCTTCCCAACACAAACAACGTGCTAATGCTCTCTATATTTTATATCCGTCCGTTTGTCAATTTAGACGTCCTTTTTTTACTAGGAATTTTTCGTGGCTCTCAAAGGTTTTTGCCGTCAAGAGACTTTCTCTAATTTTCTATTCACTTTGCATGTTCCCTTGTATCTATTATACATACATACATACATACATACATACATACATACATACATACATATATATATATATATATTAGAGTTTTTGCCTATCCCTTGAAAAACCAACCAAAATTTAGATTAAATTTATCTCATAAATAAAATCTATAATATCATATCTAATTTAAATTTATCTTATAAATTTAAACCATAAAACTAATATGATATTCTTTTATATCATGTTAGTTATTAAATTTAATCTATCAT